CGCCCTTTTTGCTCGTGCTGGTCCCCCAGCATCGGCCATGGCTCAGCTCCTCCCTCGGCTCTCCAGGCTCATCCCTGCTGTGCTGCCGGAGCGGAGTCAGCAGCATCATCTGCCCAGGCTTCCCCACTGGGCTGAGGCATGGGGCGCGATGACCAGGAAAAGGGTTTTTTCACCCTTGCTCAGCTGCCACCCCATTGCTGCAACAGCTCACAAAGGTCCCGCTAGCAAATGCTTTAAAAAGCTCCGCTCCCCCCACTCACGGAGGTCTCCCTGCATCCCCGCGCTGATGCTCTGCAGGTGCTGGGATGGTCCAGGGCCGTCCTTCCCCAGCTACAGTTCCTTCAGCTTTTGGAAAGATGTGTGTGATGCACTAGAAACTGATAGTACAGAGATGCTCCTGCTGCGCAAAGCAAGCCAGAAGGTGTCTGAGATTGGTGCGTGTTCACTCAGAAACTGAGCAAAATCCGACCACAGACTTTTCCATTTTCTGTAGGAAAGAAATAACTGTTGTCCAAACTGCCCTGCACCTACCTAGCAGAGGGTTTTTTTCCATTTATAATTTAACTTTTTTAAAAAAAGAAATAGTTTAGACAAATCTTGGTTCTGAAATGCCACCGGGGTGCCCCGCAGATGCTAAAGTGTCCTTCAGGTTCCCATTCTCCTCAGCAGATTGGCCTCCTCAGTAGATGCGATCTCCTGTGATGCCCCAGGGCTAACGGTGAAGAATCACGGACATCCCCCCAAAAGTGGTGTCAACAGAAACTTTTCAGGTCATGGATACTGCAAGTGTGACTCATTGCCAGCAGCTGTATGGTGACTGCATCCCTCATAGCACATGAAATTAATTGCAGTTCATGAGAAATCCCCTCTGATGTGAGTAGTGAGTGAGAGGGCTCAGACCACAGCAAAGGAAGATGAACAAGATGAACATACCCCACCCACACCAAGTGCCATACCCCAACCCAGCCCCATCCCTCCACGGGGATATAGGACCCGAGCCTGGAAGGCTGCAGGAGGGGAAAATGGGGGTGAAGAACCCCATTTCTTCCCATCGTATACTGCAGGGGACACACAAGACCCGCAGTGACAGCTCCCAGGGTCATGGGTGGTCCTGCTATAACCCTGACGACGTGGGGCGGTTGCCCCAGGGTCGCCTCCGGCACAGCTGCAGCCACGAGGTTTGATCCTGCACTAGCAGCACCGTGGAGCCCACCGGGGCTGGGGGGGGGGGGGAACATTTAACCCTTACCATCAGAGCCTGCAGCCTGGCGTTAACCCCCACGCAGGGCAGGGTGCTGCAGTGGTCTTCAGAGGCTCTGGGATAAGCTTTACCCCTTCCCATCCCAGGGCTGATCACCACCACTAATCCTCCTTCCCTTCCTCCCTTTGCAGGTCCAGGCACCAGCTGAGCTGCAATACGCTCATGGAAATATTTGGGCACAGTTCAGATGTCTCTAGGCATGACCGGCTAGCAAGGAGGTCACAGAGCATCCTAGGAAAGGAAAGGACCATTTTACAACCAACTAGGAGGGATATTTTTGAAAGACCACGTCAGGTCAAGCCCTCTGCATCTCTCGTTGCAGTTTTGCCAGCAAAATTTTTCTAGTAGAAAATCATTGAGTTGATTAATGTTTTTTCCTACTGTCCAATTTAATTTGCAATTTCTGCAATTTGAAGCTTCCACAGATTTGCTTCGCTTCGCTTTGGGGCTTTTGGCTCCAACGGAGCAGCCTGGAGGACAGTAGGGAGAGGGCTCTGCTCAGTTCACGGAGACAGGACTGGCTCATGCAGTTCTTACGGGAACAAATACAATTTCACTAATGACTGCTCCAGCATCAGCTTCTCTCCCTAAGAAGAGCCTTGCAAGTCCCCCATTTGGGTTGAATTTTCAGTAAAAAGGAATTACTGTGAGGGTTCCCCTCTATTTCAGAGAGAAGAAATTGAGATTATTGTCACCTGGGTGGGAAGTCACAGCGGGATGGCGGAGCTGGCCTGGCGCAGGGGAAGGCAGGCGCGTCCTGGGACGAAAGGCTCAACCTGCCCCTTTACTGAGGGGAGAGATGGGCTCCCGGCTGCCCCAGAGCCACGCAAGCAGCTCCAGAGCAGAGGTGGAGGAGAAGATCTGGCTCCCAGTCACCCGATCCAACCAGGAGAGCCTCATGCTCAGAGCAGATAGCTGCATTTTCCCCTTGAGATTCAGTCCCTGTGAAGAGATGGGCTTTTTCCATGTTTCTAATAAAACTGAAATCCACAAAACTTTGTTTTCCTATGACCGATCAATGTGGTTTTCCACCAGAGGAGGATGAAAGCATGACATGGTGACTGGGGAGCATCATACTTTGAAAAAGTAGGGGAACTTGTAGAGCAAAGAATTTTGTGGTTGGATTTTTCTCTCCCCGCCTCAACCTAAAACACAAAGGAGCCATGCAAAGTCACCTGTAGCCTACGATGAGAGCATGTGGGCTCTGGGACCTTGCTGGGTACACCCTGCCTGGCCCTTGCTGTGGCTGCAGAGATGTGCTGGCCAGCCCTGAGGTTTTGCTCTGCAGCAGTTTCTAATGTCTTGGTGCAGAGGATCTGACGATGAGCTGGGCACGGGCACAGGCTGGCTGCCGAGCATCGACTGGAGCCTAGTCCCACAGCACCCAACACCCATATTGCCTTTCATCTCACTACCATCCCTCCCCACCCCACAAACGCCACCCCCTTTTTTTTTTTTTAATTACCAAATTAGCATAATTGCACTAAGCTCAGAGCAACTGTTCTCGACCCAGACTTGGCTTGCGATTTTCTGCTTCTGTTCCAGGTCTGAAGAAGGCTTTGTTTCTGTGAAACTTCTCTTGCATTTTCCAGCTATACCAGTTGGTCAGGTAACAGTTATTACCTCTCCCTACACACCTTTATTCCTCTGCCAGGATCAGAGCCGAGTGTGTGAGTTCCCTCCGGGGATAGCGTGCGCGGCAAGATCCCAGGACGTTGCTTCGGCACGGCTCCCGCTTGGGCAGCGAGCTCGGTGGGGCAAAATCGTAGCCGAAACCTTTTGCCTCCAGTGGTGGGGTAGGTTGGGGCATAGCAGCATCCTGGGATCTCGCCACGCGTGATTTCCAATCACCTCCGAGAGCAGAGTCGCTTGGGTTGGTCAAGATGGAGATTTGGTTCCCGAAGTACGCAGGGTGAGGACAAGCGGTCAGCGAGTCCTGGTGCTGTGCTTGGCTGCGGTTGCTTCACTGAATTAAGCTTGGAAAGGAAAAAATGGGTGGAAAAGGTTCTGTGTGCCGTGCAACTGCTCTGGTCATGCAGGGGGTGGTCCTGGCCCCAGTTAGTGGGATGTTGGTGGCGATGGAGGGTCAGGTGGAAAGACTGAGCATCTATGCTTGCTAAGGGAGTAAATGTGTATTTTCTAGTTGACAGTCACGTCTGATCTAACCCTAATTTTAGGAAAAGTTTTCATATTGAGCCTTAATTCTCTGTGATGGAGCTCTTGGATGTTGTGGCAGCCCGAGTGCTAATGACCATGCTAGAAATAACCGTTCCCATCAGCGCCATCTGCCCTAACCCTCTATGCCCAGCGACAAAAGTGAGTGGTTCGGCTCAGCGTCCCTGAATGGGCCGAAGTGAGGGGATGTGATGCGCAGAGCAATCCAGCTGTCCTGCTGGTTTGGAGCTCAAACCCAAACCCACCTCCCCACAACGGCTCTCCCTCGCTTGCACTGCCGACCACCGAGCTACCCGAGTCTGCTGCAGAAAGTCCTGCGAGAACCAACTGCAAGGGGCCACCTCCTTCTGTCTCTAAAGAAATGCAATGTTTTTCTGGGAGTGTTTTTCCGTTGGAGATGGCGCACTTTTTGATGCTGTTTCCTTCCCGCCCCGGTGCCTGACTGTGGACTTGCACTTTCCTCCCAGTTTATAGCGTTTTCTGTACTTTACAAGTTCACTACACAGGGACAGGGGTGAGCTGCGAAACACCCGCGGTGAGGCACAGGTTTGAAAGCATGGATGCTGCAATTCTTCTGGATACCTTGGAGACATGGACAAGGCACTGCTAGAGCCACCAAGAGCACCCCGCGGGGGCTGAGCCTCAGCATCTCCTGCAGTGCAACCAGGCAGAAGACTCAATTTGGTGGGAATTCTCACCAACTCTCCCCTTCAACCCTGCTCTGGGGATGAGCTGGCACATTCCCAGCTGTTTGCACTCAACCAACTGCAGTTTGGGGGGCTGTGATACAGAAAATGATAGGACTAGGGAGGAAGCGTGAGCTGTTTGGTCTGAAAGATGGATTCATCTCATGCTCGCCTGACACATTAATCAAATTAAACCTTGAAATGGCGTTGCCCCAGTTCCCACAGCTCCGGTGCCTGTGATGGGGCAGCTGGTGGAGAGTTGGTGCCTGGGTGAGCAAGCTCTGAAGGCTTTTTCCAAAACCAGATGAGAAGGAGGGGTGGGGGAGCCAGCAGACAGCCATCTCTGCACTGAGACCCCAACTTTGCTGCTTGGGAGGCTGGTGCATCGTTGGACCCTGGCAAGGGCTGCGGTGCATGGGAGGGGAGAGGGGTGGCCCATGCATGGAGCTGGGGGGGCTCAGCAGAGGTGGTGGGGCACCAGGGACACCAGGCAGGGGCTGGAAGAGATGAACCTAAAGCAAGTCTGGTCCCAGGGCATGCTGCTGGCCTAAGCACCGGCACAGGGACATGGCAGGGTGGCAGGAAAGGACCAGGGTATCTTCCCCACCAGGCTGCGGACCACCAATGCTCCGACAGTGACGAGCCTGCGCATCACTCTGCCGAGGAGACCGTCCTTTAATACACGTCCAGCCGCGCGGGTACATCTCAGGCTGCACCCACCGGAGGATGGGGGAGTGGGAGGACCAGCAGCCATCTCCGGGGCCTCTCTGCAGTGGTGGGAGGGGAGGGATGGCCAGTGGCCCCTTGGAGACAGCATGGCCCGTGCAGGTGATACCGGGGGAGCTGCTGTGCAGGGGCCGTGCGGGAGCAGGGCTGACGGCAATGCTGAAAGAAAGAATCTCAAATCTCCTTCCCACACAGTTGTCCACGTGTTTCAGCTCCGTGGTGAATTCAGGGTAAGGGCGTAAAGAGCACGGAGGGGCAGCAAGGGAAAGGGAGGCAGGCAGCAGGGGTGGGGAGGGTCTTCTTCCTGATGCTCCTGTGGGAAAGAAACAGAGCAGAGCAGTGGGGCAGAAGAGGAGTTCGCAGCCCGAGGTTGGTGCCAGCGATGCCCATGCTGTGCAGGATGAGCGTGGCGTGGGCAGCAGACCCCAGAGAGCTGGGGAGGACAAGCCGGGAAAGGAGGATAACTGCCGGCACGGGCTCCATGGCAGGGACGTGTGGCACCCGTCCCAAGTATGGGGTGGGAGATGGGGCATGGGGTGCCTTTTTCTGTGATGAATAGGGGCAGTTTCTGCATTTGCCCGGCCACAAGCACAGATCAGGGATGCTGCAGGAGCACGGGACATGACAGGGGAAGGAGGACTGGTCCCCTACCTCTCACTGGCCCGTGGGGGACTTGGCAGCGTCGAACATCTTCTTTCGCCCCTCCATCCCTGACATGGCCTCCACGTTCTTGCGCCAGTCGCCCACTTCCACGGGGCGCTCCTGTCGGGAGGGACGGAGATGGAAGTTGCAATGGCCATGTCACAGGGTGGCCAGCAGCCCCACGCAGTCCCACCCCATCCCTCGGCCCTGGCGCACAAGCAGCACGAGGAAGGCAGCTGCTCTGTTGCAAACATCCTCTCCCTCGGAGCCAGCTCTGCTGTGTGTCCCTGCATGGGACATGGGAAGATGGCAAACAGCGGTCTGATCTCCGCAGGGGGGCCTGGATTCATATGGATACCTCCCAAAGCCTGGCTAAGGTGCATTAATGCACCAGAAGGCATAAAAATCCCAGAAAATGTCTTTAGGAGGAAGAAACCAGCACAATGGAACTTACTCCAGTTTTACACCAGGGCAAATGCAAGCAAAACCACTTTCTGCATAGACCTCCCAACCCACATAAAACCCATCTCCACCTTCCCTGAGCTTTTGGAGGGGACTGGGTTTGCTGGTGTGACAGTGAGAGCCTGGCAGCCACTTCCAGAACAGAAAGGGGAGATGACAGCAGCTCTGGGAGCAGGCCAAGGTGTTTGCTCTGCCAACCCACAAGTATTCATAGATTACAAGCCATGCCCCAAAATCATCTCACGACATCTAAAATAAACTCAGATCTATTCACCACCTGGTGTCGAGGACTGTAAACACAGTTTTCTATCCAAATGACTGAAAACGTGCTATACTAGCAACAGGGGAAAAAAAAGGAAAAATATATAAAAAATTCAGATTCTCATCCAATCTGCTGAACTAGGACCAAAAGGTAAAACCCCCTTGGGGAGAGGCCCTAGGAAAGCAGCACAACTCTTGCCATTGGGGTTCCTGCACACCCCAGACAAGTTTGGGCATCGTTCTCCGTCTTTGGTATTGAGACTTTCCCCCCTCGCATCTCTGCAAAGCCAGCGTGAACTGGGCCATTTATCACAGGCCAAGCGTGCTTGCTGGGCTTGCTCTGTCTTATCTAATCTGGGTCTGGGAGTTCCCTGTGTGTTTTCTGGGTGTGATTGCACTGAATAGGATCTCTCCTGGTTCCCTAGAAGACCAAAGACCAAGCTCTCTGCAAGTGCAGCTCAACAGACGCGCCAAGGGGCCTCCAGCTGAAAGACCCCCCACCTGCTCTGGGCGGGAAAAGCATCATGGACACAGCTCTAAATCTCACTTGTTATCATCTACCAGTCACCTGGCCCAGTCAAACTGCTCCCATGTGGTCCTGCAACCTCCTGCAACAGGCAGTGCCTCACAAGGACTGTCCTGTGCTAGTTCTGAGGTTTACAAGGGATGAGCACAACCCACGCAGGCTTCGCAGGGGACCTTGGAGAAGGGCAAGGGCATCCCTAGGAGTTATCTCCATCTCTGGCCTCTAGAAGAGTCACCCACCTTCTCCGTGTCCTCCTTCTTGACAGACTTGAGGTTGGCTCTCAGATCCATGGACACCTTGTGCTTGGAGCCCAGCAGAGCCCTCAGCATGGCATCGGCGGAGACACGGACTCGCCGCAGCGGGGGTCGCTTGAACTTTCCTCGGAGATCAAGCACTTTGATTTTCAGATCTTTAATCTGCAGGTTGAGGAAAGGAGGAGGAGTGAGGGGTCATCGCATGGCTGCCTTGCACAAAAGGGTCTTGTGTGAAGCAGGAGTCTTTGCTGACACCGAGCCCCAGAGGGATCTGTGCCTCTCCTGCAGCCATGAGGACCACCTTCACCAAGGGGATGTCCACCTGAGAACAGAGCTATAGTCATTGCCTTGTCCCAGCCTGCTCAGATGGCAGCCGTACCAGGAGAAGGAGCTCTCAGACCCTCAAGGGGTGACCAGGAGAGCCAGGAGGTTGTCTGTGGACCCAGCGCACACTTTGAGTTCCCTGAGGCAGGGACGAACCTTGTGCTAAGTGATGCCTGGCAGAGCAAATATCAACCCTTAGATAACCCTGGTGCGTGTCCCACATCCAAGCTCAGCCCAGTCTATGACAGACCCCCATCAAGGCCCAAGCTACCATCTGGCAGGGAGTTAACGTAGAAGCGAACAGCCCATCCTACCTCCCGAGTGTTATGGTTGCATTTCGCTTCAATGTCATATCTCTCTTCATCCACAATTTCAACCTTCTCGTGCAGCTCCCTGCATAGGTCCTGGGGGCCAAGCGCAATAGGAGAGCAGTGAGCGATGCCCCGCCACGCTCCCAAGGAGCTCACTCTGCCCTCGGACCTGAGAAATACCTGGAGTTGGCTCAGGGAAAGCCCACTGGTGTGCAGCGGTGCGATCCGCTCAGACAGGTATCTTTCCTTCTCTGACTGCTTGTCCACGATCTCCTGCTCCCACTCCTCCTTCGCTTTTGCCAGCATCAAACTCTAGGAGCACAAGTAAATGGCAGAAGTGTGAACAGGTGTGAGCCTCTGTTCCCCCTGAGCCTCCTCATGCAACGTCTATAGGACCATAGAATTACAGAATGGTTTGGTTGGAAGGGACCTTAAAGACCACCCAGTTCCAACCCCCTGCCATGGACAGGGACACCTCCCACCAGACCAGGTTGCTCACAGCCCCATCCAACCTGGCCTTGAACACTTCCAGGGATGGGGCAGCCACAGCTTCTCTGGGCAACCTCTGCCACTGCCTCACCACCCTCACCGGGAAGAATTTCTTCCTGATATCTCATCTCAATCTTCCCTCTTCCAGTTCAAAGCCATTGCCCCTTGTCCTATCACTCCATGCCCTTGTAAAAAGTCCCTCCTCAGCTTTCCTGTAGGCATGAGACAGTCCTGTCTGCCTCCCAAACCTCCTCCCTGCTGTAACTGTCCTCCCAAAATCACTGTGCTGCTGCAACACACATCAAAAACTCCCTACACCTTTTGTGTGGTGACCCCGAAGGCACGGGGAACAGCATGGCCAGAGGCACCATGGGGCTGCGGTGGTGGTGGTCCCGGAGGACGCTGACATCGGCACTTTCTTTGCATCGGTTTGCTCTGCTGTGGCAATAAATGATTTTCCCAAGCCACAACCCAGGGAGCTCCCGAGCTTGTGCCGCAGAGCTGCTGATGCACAAACGCGAGGGCTGTGGCTTTAGAGCTGAAGGCACCGGGGTCTCTCTCCACTTTGGTAAAGCAGAGACGAGGGGAGGTTTCTTTGGTGCATGGACCACAGAGCCCACATGAGTGAGGATTTTTGAGAAGACAAGAGGTGGGAACGGGAGCTGTTCCCCAAGGGCCATACTTCTGCCATTCCTCATCGCTGTCCCACCGACCACGCACTTCAACCCCAGCTCCTTTTCCCCAGCAAGACAAACCCCAGGGAGTTTCCAGCCCTCAGGACTCACCTTCAACAAGAGTTTGCGTGAGGCTGTGATCTTGGATTTTCTCTAGGGGAAAGGGGAAGGAAAAAAGAAAATAAACCCTTTGAAAACAAACTCACAGCAAATGCAGAGTAGCATCGAGATCGCTCCGGAAAGGAAAGGAAAGGCGCTTACCTCCCTGCAGGCAGGCGTGCGTTCAGGACGGAGCAAGAAGGAACAAGAGAAGAGAACAGGGCATCAGTGAACAACAGTCAAAAAGAGGTGACAGTCAAGAAAAGCACGTCCTGTGATTGCAGTTGGCTTCCTTATTTCTGTATTTAATAGTTGCCGCCTGCAAGTGAGCCAGTTCTGAGATAACAGTGCTCTCTGGAAACACAGCGGGTGCTCAGAAAGCCAAAATGCCACTCAAACGTGGCACACGAGCTGTCACGGTGCCCATCGTGCCATCCCCAGCTCCGTCCCTGCCACAACACCCTCATTCACACGCTCCCCGTGCAGCCGGGGGCTGGCACGCAGGATGCCTGGATCCTGTTCAGGTTTGCAGGGCTGGGGCATCTCCGTGTCACTGCTTGATGGAAGCCTTGCAGGGAGCTTTCTCCCTTCTCTTCATGCCAGGGAATATGTTATATTTGTACGATGTGCTATGAAGAGCCTCATGGCAAAGTGAGTGGTGCTGCCCACCTGAGATCCCTATTTCAGGATCTAGGAAAGCTCCAAGGTTTGAATTGGGATATTGAAATCACTAACAATTTTTATTTAAAGGTGTTTTTTGCAAGGGGAATGGCACAGAGGTCTTGAGCATGAGCCAGTCTCCCAACTGAACCCCTCCAAAAACGGGCAATCTCAGCCAGCAGGAGCAGCCCAGCTTCTAGGCAAGGATTTAGTGAAATCCGAGGGAAACTCATGCTACTTACGGCTCTGGCATTGCGGCG